TATTTGGTCTATTTTACTGCTGGCTATTATGGGATTATACACTTCTTTATTTTGCTAGATCATTGTCGATGTCTGATAAAGACATTCTGTCGGAGACATCCGCAGGCATCAAGTTTAGCCTTCTTTTCTACTTATTCTGCAACGACTGCAGGGAGCGTTCCCTCAGCTGGTGTGGTTTCCTCAGCCGAGGTAATTCCCTCTTTGTTCACCCGCCCCTTATGTAGGTGGACTGGCAAGGACTTGCACCTGTAGAAGACCCTACAGCAGTTGGTTCATTAAATTCATTAAGCCTCATGCGACCTGATGTCAATCCCGATCGTCAGAAGTTTTCCATTTTGCATGTCTTTGCTACTAAATACTCTTCACAGTTGATTATGCACCCTCATTTTGGCGTGATGAGTACTTTTAGCGCTCCTCTGTATCGCCATCTTTGGCTCTCGGGAGATAAAACGTAAATAAAAACGGGAAATTATGTGTATACTCGGTATATTGTCCCCGGTAAACGTGGTGAGTTCAACGTTTGCCCATTCGTCCAGCTTAGGTGCCACCTACGGTTTTTGCTCGCTTATCAATTTTTTGTTTTATCAAAATCTTTCTGCAGTTAACTTGTTGCAACGGATAAATGCTTGTTAGCATAGAGCAGAATGGAGTTACTTCCAAAAATGCCTATCATAGTTTTAAGTTCGATCAGTTGAGTGCTACAGTTAACAAGCAGTTAAATGATTTATTTTCACGACTGCATGAGGAATATTATCATAGATCTTACATAGAGTTTGATCGATCGAACCATGATTGGTTACTTCACGATTAATATTCTGCTGATTAGAAATAGATCTTCAATCTAAATTGTGCTAAAATTAAATAAAAAATCACAGATGTCTTATTTCTTTTATTTTATTTTTATGAGCTTAACTTTGTTTTTTAAAGAATCAAAGAAGAGATTCCAAGCCTTAACAAATTACTCAATTAAATAGCGAATTATCTGTATTAATCCAATAACATTACTAATTAGTAGTAAACGAAAGATAATAAGTACAGGTTGGTTGAAAACTTTTATAAGCAAAAATGAATTAGTGTGAATTTTTAATAAAATGTTTATTTTTATTCCAAATAGTCTGCCGCAACTTCAATATAATTATTCCAACGATTCTTCAATTGCTTTATTCCGTGTCTGTAATGATGTTCTGGAAGCTCTGCAAACTACTGTGCCACGGCTGCAATGGTTTCTTCATTCGACAGATTCTTCAAAACGCTTTCTACTAAGGAATTACTTACAATTTCTGAAGAGGTGAAAGTCAGAGAGAGTCCGATCTGAAGAATACCGTGGTTGTTCCAGCAAATCGTACTTTAATTCATTAAATTTCGCCATTGTCAAAACATTCACCATTTTTGTATGAATTTATGTTGTTGATAATCCTTCTATAATATAGAGCTTTATTACTGCGCGATATTCGGTGAAATTGTGAAAAAATCACCGATACGTCAGTTTCAAATTGCGCGTAAAAATAGACTGAATGGAGAGATCGAAATAGACATCTGAATATATTCAAATGAAAGATGAAGTGCCAAAATGGCTTAAAATTTTAATTTTTCTACTGGTTGATAGGTATCGCTCTCAAAATTTTTCAAGCAACCTGTACATTACTGCCTCATTGTTTGATAATGCATTACTCCTGGGTTATGTATATAATATTGTAAATAATATGATATATAAGTCGTATAACGTAAGTCGTATATTTTTAGTTATATGTATTTGCAGAATTGCTATGTGTTTTTGTCAGAATTCGAATTGTGGGTCAGGTATTTTTTATTTAACCCTCAATATGAGCTGTATTCTGTTATAAATTATTAATATAGACTTATTGTTTATATGATGAGATATTTGACGTATCTATCTTTCGTTTTTTTATTGTTGAAACTATTGGTATTTTCCGTATAGTTAGGAAGTGATTTGTTAGTGCTTTTTGTGGGAACGCCTTTAATATCTTTCCACATATGTGCTTATTGATAGAGATTCCTTCAAAATAATCTTCTAGCAGTAATGTTTTGTATTGATTAGTTTTTGTCTATGTTACGATTTGCAACTTTTTAATATGACACTTTTTGCTGTGGTCTATAATACATTACATTGATACTATATAAAGTCGCCATACCTTGTCCTTTTGTGCTTTCTTATTATTATCATATTTAAGATTTTTAATAGTTTTTATCCGTTTTTTGTGGATTTCATTTCATTTTCCGTTATATGGCTTGCTGACAAAGTGTTGTCATCACTGCCGGCTGTTAGTTCTGCTTAAAAAGATTTACTGTCTGTTACAGTTTTAGGGTTCTCTGTTTTTTTTTATCATCTTATATTAACCTTTCATTGTACCGTTCGCATGGAAATTTGATATAATGCAAGATATTCAACGTACATTTACCGGCATTTTTACTTTGATTAATGTCCTGCCAAATATTGCCAGATGAAATATTACATCTAAGCCAACATTGCGCACTCAACACTAAATGCACTTACTGGTTGCCTGGACCAAGGCGTGCAAACACCTTTCTGTCATAACCTCTGACACTTGAGCTAGAATTTGTAACTTCACTCGGGACACTAAAAAGTGATTTTCTCATAAATGTATTAAGCGGAAATAAATAAAACAGTTTCCGTTTCCTTATGCATATTGTGCAACAAAAACAAATCACATGAAATATCAGGTATCACATTTTGGAATTGGCTTTTAAAACAGTGCTGCCAGTAGGTTTGTCAGAACATTGCGATTGTTATCAGTTCAACAATGTTATCAGAACATTGTTGTGATATCAGTTGTGATGAAAGTCATCACAGTATGAAAGTCATCAGTATGCGCGATGTGGCTACTTTGTCTAACATGTTTTTTTATTATTTTTTGAAATAGTATTTTTGAAATTGTATTTGTCATTCAATTCACTGATAAAATGGACGGTGGGGGTCAGAGAGAAAGAGTAGTTAAATTTTCTTTCTTTGGGCCTTTATTTTCCAATTTCATTGTTCGAGCGCATTAACAGCACTAAATAAATCTCGGAAATGATGGTTTCTTTATCGTGAAGATCGTCGATAATGCAGTACTGTGCACATCCACAAATATAGATATTATAACGTTTTGGTGATGTAGGGTATTCGACATCATTTATTCTCCTACGTTCATGATTAATTTCAGAATACTAATATATGATGGCTGATTTCTCTAGAACAAAGTTCTAGTAAACTTCATGATTTTTTTTTTGCAAAAATTACTCTACTCAATTATGTAGTCAATTATAGTAGTCAATTAACTTATGTTGGGGATATTGACTAATTTTGATAAAAATTCGCTTTCCATAAGGGGTGATGTTTCGACTTCTTGACCAAAAATTTTCTACCTAACTAAGTGTTATTGAAAAAACAGTAGTAAGTAAATAATCGATGTAATTATTAAATTCTTTTGTGACTTAATATTACGTACTCGAATTATTTTTGGAAGAATCTTGAAAATTCAAAATTTGAATATTTTTATATTACACTTATTTACGAATTTTCTTTAAATTCTTCTTAAATTCATTCTACTACAGTATGTGGATTAAAAAGTATGTGTAGTATGCAAGTATCCTATGCCTTTTGTAGTCAAAATTTATTTTGTATATTTTGTTGGTTTGTGTAGTAAAGATTTTGCTTCCCGCGTTTTATAAAAGTCGTATAGAGAAACGAGCTGGTAAGGGCATATGTATTTTTATCAGAGATATTTACATGGTTCCGAAAGTGCAATAATCGTCCGTCTCCCGAATCGCACAATATGAAGTTTTGTGCTGTAGTAATCCAACAGTCCGCATTTACCATAGACGGTCGCTCATTAGTTTTTCCTTTTTTTTAAGTCTTTAGTATTTTTTGTGGTCTTACCAACTTCCTGACAGTTGAAATGTTTTATTCTTTTTTATATTTTTGGCTTTCGCTTTTTGATATTGTTTTGTTTTTACACTTGCTTATCATTTCTGTTTTCCTCGATTGTCCTCCCAGTTAGTATGCGCCAAACTTGTGCATTTAGTTTGATGCCAAAAATTCAATTATGTCCACTTGAAGTCACATCGTGATGAGTATGATGCAGTCCTTTCCAACAAATGCAAATGGAAACTTTTCATAATTTCGTCGTCAACGTTTTTATTTTTGTTATTGCTGCTGATGCCTTTGTCCGTACCGTACTGGTTGTTGCTTTAGATTTTCCCGAACAGAGTTGCGGATTTAGAACAGGCTGCCCCATAAACGATTGTACTGAACTGATAATTGTCTTTGTTATGCAAAGTCCTTGTGAATATGGTGGCGGCAAAGTTGTTGAATTTCAATGGGTTTTTTAAAATTTTGTTTCAAAAGCATTTAACAGAAAATGTTAAAAATATTATTAAATTAATATTTTATTATATTTCAAAGAATTTTTAAGTTAAAGATCATTTTACCAAACAATTTCCAAAAACTAAGTAATTTTATCAAAAGAGCCTTTGAAGTGGTTTGAACTTTATACGCACATTTTCACTTTAATATAGACTTGCACATTGTCAAAATAAAATGTTTAAAATGTTTTAAAAGATATTACTAACTTAAAGATTTAAAAAATTATGTAAATCTTATTTATGAATATTGTAAAATTATGATCCATTTGAGAACATCAGGTAAAAATATAATTTGTGATACTTGATGATATACATATCAAGTTGTTGAACTTAGGTATCTGTTTTATTTGATATATTGGGGAACTAGAAACAGAAATCCGAAAAAAATTTAGTTTGATGATATATGCCTCCGAGTGGAAGTGTTGACAACTGTTAGCACGCGCTAACCTGACCTAACTTAGCTTGATGATAAACATATCAAGTTGCAGAACTTGGATATCTGTTTTATTTGATATATTGGGGAACTAGAAACAGAAATCCGAAAAAAAATTAGTTTGATGATATATGCCTCCGAGTGGAAGTGTTGACAACTGTTAGCACGCGCTATCCTGACCTAACCTAGCTTGATGATAAACATATCAAGTTGCAGAACTTGGATATCTGTTTTATTTGATATATTGGGGAACCAGAAACAGAAATCAGAAAAAAATATAGTTTGATGATATATGCCTCCGAGTGTAAGTGCTGAAAACTGTTGGCATGCGCTAACCTAACCTAACTTAGCTTGATGATAAACATATCAAGTTGCAGAACTTGGATATCTGTTTTATTTGATATATTGGGGAACTAGAAACAGAAATCCGAAAAAAAATTAGTTTGATGATATATGCCTCCGAGTGGAAGTGTTGACAACTGTTAGCACGCGCTATCCTGACCTAACCTAGCTTGATGATAAACATATCAAGTTGCAGAACTTGGATATCTGTTTTATTTGATATATTGGGGAACCAGAAACAGAAATCAGAAAAAAATATAGTTTGATGATATATGCCTCCGAGTGCAAGTGTTGACAACTGTTGGCACACGCTAACCTAACCTAACCTAGCTTGATGATAAACATATCAAGTTGCAGAACTTAGATAACTGTTTTATTTGAAATATTGGGGAACTACAAACAGAAATCCGAAAAAAAAGTTAGCTTGATAAAGTTGGGTTATGACTGGAAGTTGTTTTTTTAAATATCATATGAACTAATTGAGTGTTGTGATAATAGGACAACTAATATGCGAACTTATTCCCTTTTTGCGATTCCAAATGTAAGTATAAATAAATAGTATTATTTAATCCTTTTATTCCTAGGTGGAACAGAGGGCCGTAACAAATAGTTTCCATTGAACTCTATCTAATGCAAGACGTTTTGTTTCACTCCAGCTCTTTCCAGCATTTCTTAATTCGGCTTCAGTTTGTCGTTTCCAAGCATTGTGCGGACGCCGTGGTCTTCTTCTGCCTTGCGGGTTGAAATCTAAGATATTTCTTGCGATATCATCAGCGGGTTTTCTTAACGTATGGCCAAGCCATTTGTATTTGCGCATCATTATTTCATCAGTTATAAGAGGCTGATTCGTTCTAAACCAGAGCTCATTATTGGTTATGGTTGCTGGCCAAAATACATGAAGGATGCGTCGTAGACAACGATTGGCAAAGGCTTGTAGCTGTTGTGCGTCTCTTGCCGTTAGGTTCCAACTCTCACTACCATATAGTAAAGTTGATTTTACGTTTGCATTGTACAGGTGTATCTTAGTGCGTTGTGTGATATTGGATGAACGCCAGATTTTGTTAAGGGTTCCAAACGCTTGCTTCGCTTTCGATAGCCTGTACTGTATGTCTTCCCGACTGCCGCCGTTGTTCGAAATGTAGCTTCCCAGATAGCAGAAACTTTGTACATCTTCGATGTAGGAGCCATCTAGTTGAAACTTCATTAAGCAGTTTGAATTGAGACGCATAGACTTGGTTTTGTTGATATTGATTGACAGACCAGCTGCCAGTGCACGCTTTGCGATGTTGTTTAACGATATTTGCATCTGAGAAAAGTTATGTGTTAGTAAACAGATGTCATCAGCGTAATCGAGGTCAGTAAGTTTGTTATGAAGGCCG